TGCCGAAAATGAAATACCAACTGTTGCCGATTTGGAAGGACAAACGAGTGAAGAATGTATGACGGAAGTATGATTTCTTTTAAGAATGAGAGAAATGATTTTTCAAGAATTGATTCAAACCATTTTGAGTTTTGAGAGTAGTATATTGTTTAATTATCTGGTAAAGCCCAGTTGCTCTGATCATTATGCAGTTGTGCGATTCTGTTTTTTTACCGAAATGGATAATTGAGATTCCAGCAACCAAACTCTGTCTGCTGTTACTGATTTAAATCGTTTGATCGTCGTGAACTGAAATGTACTGAGCGCTTCAGCGTTACTTAATCACTGTCAATCCGAATGATATAAAGTTTCTTTGACTTCCATCCTCTTTTAAATCTTCTTCTATTTAGACGAGTAAATCGAAATCTGGAGACGAGGATGATAATGAAATAGTATTAGAAAGTGAGGAGTTAAGGATAGACAAACATGAGGAAGAGTTAGATCTTATTTCATTCGCAGTGAGTGGTGCAGTCAAGCCAACAAAACTTTATACCGATGAACAGGCACAGGCTTATCGAGATGTTGTGCTAAGGGTATGCGAAACTATGCCAGAGGATGAGGATTATGATGACGTAAGTTGTAAAAATCGGTTTGGGGCTATTCAGAAAAACAAAAATTTCTAATTGTTGATATTCTGATTTTTTCGCATTTATTGAAGGCGTTGATTTCATACTTTTTCATTAGTCTTTTTCAGTTTAGTTTTCATTTGCAGAAAATAATTGCAGGATTTGAAGGACGATTCGGATAGTGATTATGAAGATCTCTTAAGAATGGCCAGTGTTGTTACAGAAACACCAGCTAAAAACATTACAGAATTGACCGCAACAGATTTAGTTGACTTACAAGCAATCCATGATTCTGTTGCTGAGCTACTGAAGCATTTTTGGATGTGCTTTCCACCGACGAATCCTGACATGGATGAAAAAGTTAGCTTATTTTGCAGGATTGTTTCCGTTCACTTTTTGAAGTATTTACTTGTCATAGTCAGAAACCATTATTTTATTAGTGTTTGAATATGTTTCAGTTAAAACGAATGAATGTAACTTTGCGGAATTTTGAAGAAAATAAAATTGCTTCAGCTGAGGAACGGTTCGGTGAAAAAAATGTGAGCGAACTATGATTTTTAATATCAAAATTCATTAGTGAAATTTTAGAGATATACGACTACGTACTCACTAATGATTTGTTTTTCAAATTATAGTTTTTTCTCAATATATTCAGGCAGTGACATTGTAAATTTTCTCTTGAAGATAAATGCTTGGCTATATCCAGATAAATTGTACCTTACGAAACTTCTCGAACTGAATGCATTAATCTTTTTTGCATTATGGTAGTTGACTGTATTGGCTCAGAAATCCATTTGAAAGGCCCATTTTGCCGACGTCCGTATTTTTTCGAATTAACTGTTCTAATCGTATATTGGAGACAATTTATTCAGTAAACTATAATAATTTAATCATTAATAAAATCCCCGCAAAACATTAAAAAGTGTAAACACACTACCGTTCTTAGAATAATAAAATGAGGTATTAATTCTTTTTATTTCAATATTGTTTTAATAAGCTCTAGTGTTTTTTTTTTTTTTTTTAGTATGGGATAATTCTGTGGTTATGATGTAATGCAGGGATATTAATAAATTAAGTTATGCGAAGTTAATTAAATAAGACGACTCCTAAATGGTAACAAATAATACAATTGGTTCTCCAGTAGTACTTCGTTTTAAACTGAAAATTTTATAATATTCGTTTCAGAAAATTTAAGCTAATAGTTTCAAAACAACCAAACGATTGTACAATTCTTACAAATGCTTATTGTATTTTAAAATCTTTGTTTCATTCGTTTTATCTTTTAAATTTGGCTAATTACAAACTTTCGAATTACACTTCATTTATTTTATGCAAAATGCAGTTATTGTATTTATTTAGAGTGCTGGATAGCTAAGCGATATCTTCGTTGCAATTTACCGTATTTTTTAGCTGTTTTGTTTTCAGATTGCACGTTGTCGACAAATGCTCAGTTTTGCGTATACGCGTTATGACGCGTATTTACAAAAAAAGAAGAAGTAGGTTTTTTTGTTCGATCCATTTTTGTTTCTGACGAATGAAGATAGTAGGAAAAGATTGGTCGTGTTCTTTAGTAGCATCGAATTATTACTCTGGGCTGAAAAAAAGTTATTAAAACTTACCCTCTCGGAATCCATTTCGTAACTATATAACATTTTCTCAGTTTTCCTCCTCTGAGTAACAATATTTTCAGATAGAAATAATATGACGAATATCTTCATGGAAATAGCCACTTCTAGCTGATTTTTCTTACTCGAAATAAATCATAATTACTTTATAAGAAATATCCTGGTCCAACATTTTTCTGAAACTTATAATGACGCGTGGTTGTTGATGAATCAAAATAATTAGAAGACATTTATAAAAAGTGAGGAAAGTGCTTGTCCCATAGACAGATTTATTTTGCGAGATGTATTTGACTTGTTTATATATAGAGTAATGCTTGACATTTATCTAATTTTATGTTAATGTATCATAGCACTGCATTTCAAGACGGGTATTTATTTATGTTCATCATTGTTTTGATGTCATTTAAGGATTAATTTCTTTATTGTTGGAGTAAGAATTTTTATTTAAGTGGCAAATACTAGTCGTTTTGAGCTGTTCCATTTTATATTTTTCACTAAATGAGAATTCATTGTTGTTGTTTTTTTTTTTTTTTTTTTTTAATTCATATTAAATCGTGTGGTTTTCAGTGAGTTTTGAAACCTTCGCTTTTAAAATTTGAAGATTGATGAAGTCCAATTTTGATAGCTTGTTTTGATGAGGAACTGGAATGGGTTAACGTCAGTCGTATGCGAGTTTGTTTTCGAAATCATCTAACTAAATGGGAAGGCATTGCTGTTTGCGGACCAACTTCATACTCATAAATTTCATTTTTATTGTGAGGATTCTGAAAAAAAAAAAAAAAAAAGGAAAAAAAAAAAAAAAAAAACAGAAAAGCTTAATACATAAAAGCTTTTAACAATACGCTAATATCTCATGTCCCAATAATTATAATTAAGAATAATTCAACATATTAGTTGTTTTATAATTGTTGACAAATTTATTATTTAGTTAGGCATATGTTTTTTGGAGCTTGTTATTGTTGAATTAAGCATATATTTTTAAAATCTTACTAAAAATGGTGACTTACATCTATTGCATCTTAAAGTTCATTTCGTTGCAGTTATTTGCACAGTAAAATATCGTAACACTTCTTCAGATTAACAATGCGATTAAGTAATACTAATTAAATTATAGTTTTTTACTGTGATTATTGCAGGATTAATCATGAAATAGATGATGAAACTACGGAAACAATATACGGTGGTCATTCCAGTATTCATTCCAATAAAAGGAAAACAAAAAAGTTAAAAATGTTGTAAGCAGACAGAGATTAATCTAACTTGCGAAGATTTTAAGTTTCACTGCCTGTACCTTCTCTTCATCAATAAATATGTTCAACCTTTATTCTACTTTTCATTCGAATATTAACAGTAATTAGCATCAATTAATAGATTTTGACTCGTCCAGCGAGCGTTGTGATGAATACATACCAGTTCACAAACCATAAAATTTTAAATATCAGGTAAAAATTAGGATTAAAAAATGTTCTCTATGTTTGCGGGTTTCATTAAAGATATTAAAGTTTGGAACATTTTCAAATGGTTTTTCTCATTTTTTATTCCAGATTTTAAAGATAAATTTAATGGTAAAGGATCGGAAATGTGTCCAATTTATGAAATTACAAAAATTATATTCTCAAATAAGTGATAGCCCATAGTTGCTGGGAATGAATCGATAACTTTCTAAGATATACAAAATTAGCTTTTTTGAATGAATTGCAGTAATTCAAGAGTATGAGAGTTGTAAATGGAATGTGAAAAGTAAATTAAATCAAACCAAATGGTTATGTGACTGTAAATAATTAATATTACAAATAATTGTTAGATTTAATTTCAAATGAACACTTAAGCTACGTTCATTTCTATAAATAGATATCCGAAAGGTGTTAAAAATTTTAGAAGGAAAATAAGAATGTAAGGAAAGTAATCTCAGATTATCGAAAAAAAAAAATTGAGTTTTGTAAATGATTCAATAATTTTCTGAATAAAAATGATTAAAAGCTTTGTTAAACAAAAAAGAAAGCAAGATTGACTTTTCAATTGATCCTTTAATTGAAAGGATTGTAACTGGAAATGTTAAAGGTTATTTAAATTCTTAATTTCATAGTTTTTGAGATCTTAGATCATATCCAATATTTTAATACTTTTTTTTGTACTTTCCTTTTTGTTAGATAAAACAGAGAAAAGAAACTTATTACTTAAGCAAATTTCTTACAGAAACAGCATAACAATCATTATTATATTTGAAACAGAAGAAATATGTAAGAAATAGTTTTGAAAAGGTCTGAAGCAATGCTTGAAATATTTCGAACATAAAAAAAAATTATTCATTTTGTACTATAAAGTACAATAAAAGAAGAATTTTATTTAGACCAACGTTTAGCAAAAAAAAAAAAAAAACATGTCTGACATCATCTTTTATTTAAAATTGTAATAAAATTTTGATTTGAAATATGATTTTTTCTTTTTTGAAATTTTGCTTTCAAAAGATGAAGAAAAGGTTGTATTCGATGAATGACTCAAATCTTTTCGTTTAATTAACATCATTTAACAATTATTATTCAATTATATTATATCCTTTTCATAATGGTAAGTTATTTGTTATCAATAATCTATTGAACTTTAAAATATTTTAAATTTTACAGTGTGAATTTTTTCAATTTTATAGTTTCCTGCAGAAAAATGCTGAAAGTTTTGTTATTGCAATCAATTATTGATAAAATGCGCATTATTCATCATTGTAAAAATAAGACTACGAAAGTTTGCATATAATTTTTATACAATATTGAAATTAAATAAGTCCTTCGATACTGGGAGGCTGTAAATAAGGCAAATTTTTAGCATGTTGATATTCCTCAAACTGTGGCCGATATTCGCCATGACTGCGACGTCGTTCTTTCAATTTACGATAGCCAATATAGCCAGCAATAATGAGACTAATAAGTATAACCTGAAAAGTTATCAAATTTTACGATAATTCTTAATTTTACTTATCTGATGAATCTATTTCTCGTCGATTCATAGAAAATTTTCAAGCACCAAAATATTTATGTTTTACTATCTCCTATAAGTCGCATTCCATTATTCGTTAATTTCTGAAAAAAGTATAAGATGACAAATGTCCAAATTTCAAAATTCAAAAGAAATTTGTCATGACAAATTACAAATTTCCTTTGAATTGATGCTTCATACTACTGCTTTTACTGGTCACTACAGTAAATTTTGCTTTAAGTGTCCGTCTGATATATGATTTACCTTATTTTTGTAACAAGGTAATTTCTCCATCATATTACGACAAAATTTGAAAAGCAATTAAGCATTAACTGCCCTGAATTTGTATTCTTAAAATATTTTTCAAACTTCTTTTTTAGCCTACATCTTTCGTCCTTTCTCTTAATTGAAAGTAATAATGATAATTATGATCAAGTGAAAATTTAGAAATTTTACCACCAAAAAATCAATCTGTTCATTTCAAATCAAAAAAAGAATACTTACCAGTAAAATAACCACAATGGTACCTGTTTTATCACCATTCCAATCATCATCAGATGCTTCAGTTGTACTTGTTAAAATAGTCGTTGTGGATACTGTAGCGCTATTTACTTCAGACATTCCCAATAATGCAATTAGCACTAGCACAGCTAGCTGTAGTAGAAGATAAAGTAACGATAATAATTTATGACAGTAGCGATATGAAAATTGAGCAGCATTCGGACAGCAATAAGGTGCTGTCAATAATTTCCGGAATAATTTCTGGAATCAAATATTTTTTTTTTAAATTTTTTAAATCCTTTAACATTTGTATATTGTACACAACATAAGTACAAACAGTACTTTGCATTTCTTTTTTTTAAATTCATGCATAAATACGCACAATTTCAAATACAGTTTTTTTTTTTTTTTTTTTAAAACGAATGGTCGAATAATATTTTTTTCAACAGTACCGTTTTCTTCAGCAAATCTCAACAAAAGATAGTTTACTTTTGTTTCATTACATGTCATCAATAATCATCAGGAAAAATCACAATAGTTTATTTTGCAAAAGTTTGTAAACAAAAAAAAAAAAATTACAACAATGAAAAATCCTATTAATTATCAATGATTTCACTAAACAAATTTCGTTTTCCAATCTGTTGAAGTATTCTTTCAAGAATAAATTAAAGCAATAATTGTTTCAGTATTAATATTTGGAATCTATTTTTAATGGATGTTTGCAGAACCGACAATTCACGTTTTACTCATTGATTTCAACACTTTACATAATTTCACAAACAAATTTGTAGATATTAAATCTTTTTTTTCTACCAAACAAGTATAATTTCAAGAAAGATCATGAGTGATAAAGTTTGAAATGATTCTTTTTGTTATTACAACTCTTGGAACATAAAAAAAAAAAAAAAAAAAAAAAACAATGATTCAACTTATGACAGAATAAGATTTGCAGAATTTTATAATCTCAAACATTTTGCATTGCTAAATTTCTTTTGTGTAAGACATGGAATGTAAATTCTTTTCATAGTCCTTCTGAAGTCATTCCTATAATAATTTAAGTAAATCAATTCCTGTAACAAAAAATTTAATTTAACCAATTATTGTATGTGCGCAGTTATGTGATACTCTCTTTGAATAAATAAAACTAATTTGCCAAATTTTATGGCTCATTGAAAATGGCAAAACTTGAAATATTGTTATTTATAGGGAAGTTAAAAACGATTTTTAAAGGATTGAAAAGTAAGTGAATAATCGATAAATTTCACAAATCAGAAAGAGAAAAAAAAGAAATGAAAAATGTAGACGCACAGAGTGATGTATATGAAATACATGAATGTTTATTTGCATTAAAAAGGAATTTTAATAAGAAAGTTTTAAATCATTGTAATTTACAAAGTGACTAAGGATTATTAATCACAAGAATAATTTAAATCTTTCTCAATACAATTCGAAAAAAAAGCAAACCAGCGAATCATTTCGTTGATCAACTTCTAATGGATGATTCATACTAATATAAACAATAAAAATCGTATTATAATTTACCTGGAACATTCTTGAATACTACTTATCAGTATCATTTCACAAATTAACCAATTTTATCACTGTAGCAATATGATAAGTGAATTATCATTTAAAGATTTTACTTTTGACTATTTCTCATAGACAAATAACGATGTCATCAGATTTTCAACGATTCATTTCTAATGATTCATACAAAAAGAGAATTTTATTTCAAGGATACGCTAATAGCGACAAAAAAAAAAAAGGAATTTATGACATTTTGCATCCATTTTTGTTTTCTTCAATCATATTTATTACATTTCGCGTCACTGTTATAGTATAATATGAAAATGAGGAATTGTTTAGAAATAACGGTATAAATAATGTTAAGAGAGGAGAGATGATTATATTGAAATTTATAGTAATTTAAAAAAGTTTATAGCTTAGTACCTGACAATTCTTGCTAACCTTTAAAGAAGATTTTTGTACATCAATAATAAGCTGTCATGTAGTAATTATCATAGACTTATTCTCTATATTATATTATTAAAAATATTATGTTATCAAAAATATTGTAGAATTTTATTTTTTGTCAATCTCAAGCACTATCGTTATTAAAAATTGCAAATAATTTAGACTGAATTTGAGAAAATTTCCGATAACTAACGATATAATTTTAATCCTAAAATGAATAGGAAATGTTTATCATGACCAGAACTTTTTTAAATGACTAAAATATTTTAGACTGTAATTACAAACAAAAGATAACCAACAATTTTAAAACAAATATCACAGTTTAATGAACCACAATAGTTAAAATGAAATGATTTTTTAATTTTGATTAGCATCTAAACATTCATTTGTTCATATCGTTGTACTCACATCGTTTTATAATTCATTTTGTTTGAAGTATAGAGATTTTAGCTATTAAAAATTTATGAAATTCAAAAAAATGAAAGAGAAAAAAGGTATAAATAAAATATAACCTTTTTTTTTGTATGAATTAATTCATTGTAAAATGAAAAGGAATGAAATGAAATTAGAAAAGAGAACTGTAGACCAAATGCTAAAGGAAGTGAAATTGAGTCGAACGAAGTAATTTCTGCGCTTTAGGATATTTCATCCATCACTGATTAGTAGGAATAAATCATATATTTCGAATAGATATGACAAAGTATCGCATTGGTATTTATGAAATGACAGAAAACTGGCCAGCCTAGATGGAAATATGCAAATGAAAGAAGTCACTCCCTCACTTCTTTCCTTCCACACATCTTTATTTGGCGCAATCTTCTCTTCCCTCTTTCTTGCATCATTGCATGTCATATCAAAATTGACTAGAAATTACCACATATATTTCATTATAATCGAACAATCCGATAGCTCATTCAAATGTTACTTATTTCTTCTTTCCCATCCAGTAACCTTCCATTTTCCTCCGAATTATTGTCACAAAAATTTGATTGCAAATTTTGGGTACATTAAATTTGATGATATGATGCATAAAGATCTATCATTTTAATTTTAAAATGACCAAAATTATGTCGCATTTTTTTTTTTGCTTTCGTAATTTTCATCGCAGTTGCGAAGTCTATATAAACAAAGAAACATTCCTCGAAAAGTTGTGTTACTAATGAAATCCATTTAAAAAGCATGCTTTATTGTATGGCTATGTGAAATGTTTTTGTCGTAACTTTTGATTTGTTCATCTAAACTTTAAATTAATAAAAAACGAAAGAGCAAAGATCAGAGGTCAACTTCAATGTTTATAAATTAAATTGAAGAACAAGTTTGGGAAAAAATTAATCACTGGAAATATTTTTATGCTAATTCAATGTTTTTGTATGTTATGTTTAAGGAATAAATTAATAAAATTTATGAAAAGCTACTGAGAAAATCATTTTCATGATTCACCAGATGCTCATATACCAGGAATTTTCTACTCTGTGATCACTTTATACACATAAAACATGATCTAATAATTATTAAATAATATCTCAAATTTAACTAAATTTAAGAAATTCAACCTATTTTATTTGTTTAATTTTTATTACATACATTGTTGGATATTGAGACCTGAGAGCCTTGGTTAAGATCAGCAATAAGCATGCAACTACAAGTTCTATCACTACAGATTTGAATAATAATGATCAACGTGAAATAATTAATGAACAACTACTGGCATAGCTATTTAGCCCAGGATAACATTTTATGATGAGATTTTAAAAAATCTGTAGAACAGGCAAAGTATTATAATATACATCTATGATGAAATGAATAAATAAAAAATAAAACTAATAGGTCAGTGCTAGTACAAATTTTGGTTTCCGGAAGAAGAAGCAAATTTATTTCCGTCATAGAAATGCAACAATTTTCCTACATATATTTTTTTTCAAAGAACTTTTTCTTTTACAACTTTTAAAATTATAAAAAAAAAAAACTATCCTAAAAATATATTTTTTATGTTGCAGAATTAATTGAAATGTTAATGGATGGTTCCTTTTTTATTGAATGATTGTTTCACTTCGTGTTTTTTAAAGCATTTAATTGAGCTTTTGAGGAATAATATGTTTCTAGACACCATTCAATTACATTCAGTAGTGATATCACTGATGAAAATAAAATCGATTTAAAAAAATTGATTGTATTATGGAAGCAATTTAGACAAATATTTTGTAGCTATCAGAAGAAGTTGTCTAAAAATAGTGTTAAATTATTAAATGTAGAAAAAAAAGTTGTTTTAAAAAGTGAAAAAAAAAAGCAAATTGCGGAAAATTAAGATTAGGAGGGTTATGAGGAATAAACAAGAAATTGTGACTGACAACTGGCCTCATAAATAGGCTAAGCTGGACTTTTCATATCCAGTTTCGTGTAGCTTCGTATTAAATTAATCGATTGAATTCATGATTATAAACAGAATGAAAAGAAATGGCAAACAAAATGAGAGAGATAGGAACGATAGAAATGAATTTAAACACAATAAGTTATTAAAATCTGAAAATGACACAATTATTTAACTTTAAACAAAGAAGGTGTTAATGCCTAGCAATTAGTAAACTATTTCTATGAAGTAATTAATACTTTAAGTGATATGAATTCATCTCGAAGAAATGAAAACAAATTTATAATGAAAAATATGAATAAATGAATCGAAATCACCTATAATTAAATCAATTTGCAATAGAAAGCATGGTGAAAAAGTGAACTTGAAGGTCTGATGGATATGTACGATCAAAGAATTTAGTCGTATTGCGTCATTTCTTATCTTTCTAATTTTACTACTAACGACCGCTCTAGCTTATCAGTGATTAGTGAATGGCTTATTTGATCATTTATTTCTGCAAAAACTGTACAAAATAAAAATTTCTTCAATATTTTTGAAAGTTTAATTATACATATGTAGTGTAATGGATGATAGGAAAGGGAATTTTGAAGTGGTGTCATTGCAACCGATGATGATTGCTAGCATTTAAAGGGAAAAAATTGAAAAATTCATAAATTTTTAATAAATTTCTAGCAGAGAATTGAGGATGAGTAGAAAATAGCAAAGGACAAGCACTCCGTTCAATGCAAAATTGAATCATTTCATTCGAGACCCAACTCTCCGCTTTTGTAAACAACACAATTCGTTACCAACCAACCAAACCAACCAGCCAATCATCACAAGCATCATTTAAATAATACAAATGCTCAAACATATTGATTATTATTTCAAACTTGCTTTACCAATATTTTTCCTAATTCAAATTATGTCATACATTAACGCATCATAATTCATTCTCAAAGTTATCAATTATGAAATTAATATTAAAATGATAATTAGAAGCTTACTTATTTATTACTTATATATAAAAACAATAGAATGGTTACAAAATTTTCATCTTATTTTAGTTGTTCTTAAAATTGGAATTTATATCAAGAAAACTTTATTTGACGTTTATTTAATTTGATTAAGTTTTATTCGTGGTGCACGAAAAAAAGATTTATTTAATTTAATTTTTTTGCTGCAACAGCAAAAGAAAAGCAATCTTTGATGTTTCTAATGAAAACTTTTAAATATCATATGTGACAGTCAGTTAGTTATATTAATATTTTAAATGAAATTTGTTTGAATAGAACGATTATAGTTATTGCAAATGAAAGACTTAAAAAACCTATTTATAGTTAACGATAGGTTCAGCAAAAATTCCATTATTAAAAGAAAATATTTGAGTTTATTGTTCTCCTTTGATCTGAGCTAAAAGTTTTCTAATCACTTCTGCCTATCTAACTTTAACTGACCACAAACAATAAATCAGTGAAGTAAAATAAAATCGAAAGACATTTGTGTGACAATAAAAGGATATGTAATCAATTCAATGTTGACAAACCTTTGGATTGGTTGCTTGGTTGCATTTATTGATTCAACAAAACTTCTACACTTTATTTCATGTTAAAGTGATTCGATCACTACATAACTGCTTTGCACTTTGTAAATATCTAAAACTTCTAATTTTAGTTTTACTCTATCAAAATTTGCTTCGAAAATTTTTAATTTTAAAGTTCTAAAATTAGATTTTTAAAAATTTAAAAAAAGCAGTGGCAAAAAAAAAATTTTCACAACTAATTAAATTTGTAAAATGGTCAACTAAAGGCATTTCTCTCAGATAATTAACTTTTTGAGTAAGGAAAAAATTTCACCAATAATTAGAAACGATGATGAACTTGCAAAATTTTAAAAGTGGCAAAAAGAGTTAACCGTAATAACTTAAAGATAATAGGAATAATTTTTGTTACATTTTCAATAAAAATAAAAATTGCTGTTTCAAGTAAGAAAATTGAAGATATTTGCATTATGTTTTTATTCAAAAGTATAATTTTTACCATTTTATTTAATGAAATCACATACTTTGCTATGAAATGTAGCATATAGTAGTTAAACTGTGATATGATAGATATGATATGATGATGAAAATGTGACACGAAAACTAAACTTATGCTATTTCTTGTATAAATGAAATAATCTTTCAATATTAAGAAGTTTCAGTTAACACAATCGCAGAAATGGATCAAAACTGATCACTGATATGGAGATATCAGCTTAATCTATATCATGAAGTTTTCACTTAATTTTAAATTGAATGTAACAAAGGAACAAAGATTTGGAAGACAGAGTATTACAGAAATATATTCTCATATCAGCGAGAAATTTTAATACCACTTAGTGATTAGTTATTAATCAAATTTACGAAAATTATATTACTGAACGATGATAATATGCGTATGAAATGACTTCAAATTGTTGCAATTTAAAGAGAAGATGGAATATTGGTCGTTTGACATTTATAATTTCAATCCTGAATTTCTTCCTCTACGTATTTCCGTGTATCGCTGTGATATTTCACAATTATTGTTGTTGAATTATTCTTTTCCTTAGTGGACAATGACTTCAATCTTCTCGACATCAAGAATTCCACCTCTCTTTTTTATCTCTCTTTCTCTCTTTTTAGAACAACACAATAAAATCCTTGACCTTATTTGAGATATATGCACAAAATTATGTTTATATATAGGCAAAATTATCAAAATATCAGAAAATTTTTTTTTGGAATTTTTCAAGTAGAATTAGTTTTTAAAAGTTTTCATCTTAATTAATTAATTGAAATTAGAATTAATGCTAATTTTATGAGCACTGAATCATCGTTTTGTGTATTACTCATAGCACTGGAACAAAATAAGAAAATTTTACGCGACATATGTTAAGATATAAAATGAGGCCTAGCATCCTAAATTATATATCATTTTTATCGAAATAATTAAGATACTCCATTGAGTGAGAGCAACAAATCGGAAATTGTATTAATTAGAAATCTTAAATCAATATTGTAAAAATTTTGATGTGAGTGGGAAACAAATTTTCAGTATTTGAGTATTTTAAGCAAAAACTATTATACGCTATAAATTGATATACTAACAAAGTAAATAAACATTAGATCGAACTTTAAGTGGTAATTTGTTGATAGAAAAATGCGTAATCTAAGACAAAATCCCATGTGGGGTATCAATAAAATGGCATAATGTTTCATTTTTAAGTATAAACACTTCACTGCAAACATAATATTCTCGAATTTATGAATTGCTAAAAATCTTCATTGTATTTTCGATCTTGGCTAAAGGAATCATAATCATTTTCAAATTAAACAGCATTTAAAACGAGACATGAAATCGAAATGTCTCATGTGAAATTGGTTAGAAATAAATGAGTAACTTTTAAAACTTAAAAAAAAAAAGAACAGAAATTCATTATTATAAAAAAAAATGGAATCTTTACAAAAATTTTAAAGAAAAAATTTGAATTTTCATTTATTTTTGAAAAAAAGATAAAGCAAGAAAGGCACATGAAAAATTAATTATACGCACAGTGATTATCTAAGTCCAATATTATTTGTATGCCAAAGTCAAATTATAAAGCAGTTAAATACTAAATAGTCATTTGATGAATTTGTTGATTATTTGATATGTTAAGAATGTCAAATAATTGTGGTTTGGTGACAGTTCCAAAAAAATTAGTTGTAAATATTTAATCACAAATAAGGAATTTCGCATCCTATATTTATTTTAACATTTTTACTTATTGGAAAATTTAGCAAACATCATACAAAAAGCATAATTATTGGTTGAAGAAAAAATGACAAATTGTAAACTAGAATTAAAAAATTAAAGAAATTAGAAATACAGCTAATAATCATTAAAAATATTGCAGCTATCATCAAGAACGAAAAAAATTCAAGATGACAAATATGACACATCCAATTCAAATAGCTTATTTTATACTATTTAAAAAATTTCCAAATATAATCCAAAATGAGCCATATTTGTCCTCAAAAATTTCCGAAACAACAATAAAGTATGAGAAAAAAGCAGAACGAATAAGCTATTATCAAGAAATGCCAAATGAAAATTATAATTCTAAAAGGCAGTTTTTGTAGGATTACTCTGAGATTTAAGCGGATAATGCTAATTTGGAATTGTTCAAATTTGTTGAAAAAGTGAAAAAATGGACCAAATTTATAGTCCTTTTTGATAACCAATCATTTTCATAGCTATTATGCAAACTATTTTCATTTATTTCCTTTTGAAAATAGAAATTGCTTTTAATGAAAGCAAATGTTTTCCAGCGAATCATATTTCAATAAAATGAAAAATGACGAATTTTTCACCGTATATTTAATAAAAAAAAGAAAAATTAAAAAAACAAAGGACAAAATCGCACTAAACATTTGTATATATGTGAGAAAGATCTCAAATCAATGTAAAAATAATGAAAGCGAGACATTCATGCATTAGTTTTCAAAAAAAAAACGAAATGTTTATGATTGACCTTCTCTTCCTCGTTTATATCATTTTAACTAATTACTGCTGATGGAATGAAATAAATAAAAGCATTTTGTTTTAAAAATTTAAATTAACAATAAATGAAAGGAAATTCAGACTAGGATATTGAAAGATCGTTGAGTTGAGAATCAATTTCGAATAGAAATTGCTTATCTGATAATAAAGCGATGGGAATTTAAGGCCAAAAAAGCATCATTAATGATATTAATAAAATGAATGAATGAATTTCTATCCGTAAGCAACCAGCAGTTTGTCCTTCATGTGTTATATCACCATCATTACCGCTGTCACCAGCTTCAGCTCTTGTCTCAGTTAATTCAGCTGATGTACTACCAGTATCATCATCCACTGATGGCAATATTTCACCAGCTATAAAAAAAAATGGTTCAAAAAAAAAATGTAATATTCAAAATACCATCCTTTTATTATGCTTTAAAATCTTAACCTCAATCTTATAACAATAATAATTTCATTTCTTCTCTTGTTTTTTTTTCTTTTTTTTTGAAATTGCTGATTATTTTCATGTATTAATTTTTTTTTTAATTTCCGATTAAAAAAAACAAAACTTCATATATACAAATGGAATAGAAATAGATAATAATTAAATTTTCGAATTATGTTCACACCTTTCATACCTTCTTGACCATCCATTTCATATCCTTCTGTTGCTTCAGCATATTCTTCGCCCTCCTTCGCCTTATTTTCAGTTACCTCATCTAAATTCTCTTCTTGAAATTGATCATATCCGACTTTGCTTACATCATCTTTTGAGGATCCATCCATCTCACCATCAGACGATTCAGGCATTTCATCATCTAATGCCTCATTTTCAGCCACTACTCCACAAGTTAACCCTGTGAAACCTTCATAACAAACGCATTTTCCACATTCACAGCTACCTTGTCCACTGCAAATTTTCTGGAAAAAGAAAAACAAAAATTCCGATAAGCTACATTAAACAGTTAAAGAGTGAAATGTTGATAATAAAGTTTATATCCTAAATTTTTAAAAAATCTATAGAAAAAAAAAAGTTAAACACAATAAAGAAATAAATAGAAAATTTGATTCATATACGCTCACACCATAGAAAATAAAACATTTGCACAAAAATAGATCTTTTTTTTTTTTTTTCATATAAATATTTTTGAAAGATATAAATGTGTGTAAGATATAAAAGATATAAAAATTTGATTCACATACGCATAAGCAAAATTTTTAATATAAAATAAAAAATTGTCAAAATTCTTCCTGAAACTTACTCCGCCTTCTAGACATGAAGAAGTATCGAGAGTGCACGAGCAATCATCACCTGTATAACCTTCTTCACAATGACATTTGCCACATTTGCATTCACCTTGGCCTGCACACATTCTGTCATTAGAAGTTGGACATGACATATTTTCACATTCGCAATAATCTCCACGAACCTATAACAATTGAATTCTATAAAGGTTTCCTCATAGTGCAATCAAAACTTCTAAGTTTAATTGATCAAATTTTGATTCCAAAAGATAGCAATCAAAATTGCATTGACATGTAGATCAATATATAATGTTTGTTGGTTCGAATTTAAACCTTTTAAAATTGCGAAATTAAAGTCGAATTTCGAATTCAACTAAAAATACTGCATCCAAAGGAAAAATTTGTCATTTTAACAAATAAATAAACTTAAACATTCCAAAAAAAAAAAAGAGACAATCAGTTGTCCATGCCTACGTATTCAGCGTATATAACGGAACTTCGGTGCATCTCAACGCTTTTTTAAATAATAGATATAATTTTAAAGTTAGTATTGCGGTAAAATTGATTCAGTAAAACGCTAAATACACTTACGTGTTCGACGTTGCAAACACAGCTACCGCATTTGCACTGACCATTACCGCTACAAACTAAATCTTTCGGAGTTCTAAAATGATAATAAACGTTTGCTTTAATCTTTTCCACTTTAATTTGTTAGAATGATATCTTATCGAGCTATTTGGTGTGATTTATCGTGCAATGGTATGAATTATGAATTAAATTGAATTTCTATGAATAAAAATATGAATCGAATCTTTTAAAGTATGAAATGCATAATATTATAATATCACTTCTAACTCGTTTGAATTTTAATTATTTAAATTAAAATTCAATCATGATAATTATCAATTCTTACTTTCTACATCTATTTTCCAATTCCTGAGCTGATAAGGCGCCGTGCTGCTTTAAGTCACATTCACAGTGATTTCCACCTTTACCTGGTTGACATTCACATACACCACAAATTAAATCACCTGCGCCATAACATAATGGTGATAGCTTTTCCTAGAAAAATTCGCTTAATTAATATGAGAGAATTTTACTAAGCATTTTATATTCTCTTTGAAAAAATTTTGTAAAACATTAAAACTGCTTTATACATCTGGAAAAGATATGATGTATAAATTATAAAATAACCTGATTCTGCACTTTTTCACATTCACAACCACATGATGGTGTGATATACATAGCAGAAACGGTTTGATAACCATATGCGCCAATAGAAACCGCAATATCGCCTCCTGATTTGCACTCGTTCAAGGATACTTTCGCGAAAAATTCAATTTGATCACCTATCGCAACATTTGGACATTGCCGCCCTTGCACTCGCTTGCTGCAAAATACATTTTTAACCTTTTTTTTTAAGTTCAAAATTTGAATCAATTAATAGTTTTAAATAAAAAAGCAAAGTAGTTTCATTTCGAATAAATGTAAACTAATATTTTAAGAAATGTTTAATAATTACATATTTGATAAATTTCAAATTTAATAAAATATACCCTCCGCAAAGAATGGAAAAGTCGATACCAACACCCAATGATCGAAACTCGCTGGTTTGTATAACGAAATCACGCTGACTTGATTGCTGTGGCCTGTGCAGGTATTTGAATGGTACTTCCATTATATCACCTGAAAAAAAAAAAAAAAAAGAATCATTTTGATGAAGCAAACTCGTGTAAATAAGGTAGACTTAAATATCTTTCAACTATTTTTTGCTAATAGTTGACTTTTCAAATTTCATTTCTCAAATAAAATATTTCATCTGTAAATATCATTTAATATATATACAATCTTTATTTGAGTACCAACTGAAATTGAAATAAGACATTAATAGAGAAAGGAAAAAACAGTGTAATTTCGCTAAGTTTTGGAACAAAAATTAAGACAGTTGTAAGTTTGATGGATTTAATAAGGCATTAATAGAGAAATAGGTGAGTGATAGTAAAGCGATGGCCTAAAATGAAATATTTTATTTCAAAGATTTACAAAAATTCACAACAATGAATTGTGAAAAGTGTCATGAAATTATATTTTATAGTATTGGTTGTGATTGGGTATTAAAGGCAAAAAACCAGACGAAATTGAAGAAATGTAATACCATCATGGATTAGTGAAACTTGTGATGGAAGATTTTCAACACTTTTGCAGTACATGTAAATAATTCAGGTAAATAATTAATTGGAAAGATGAGAGGAAAAGAATTGATTAAGTGAGTATAATTAGCAGAGTAACTTGTAGTATTTTATTATTTGATTAGCATAAACTGTATAAAAATGATGAGGCAGGCATTAGTTTCTTGTTTTCGGATTCAATAATTATTACTAATTGCTTAATTACTTGTCACATTTAATCCTAAGAAATAAAAATTTTAAATTTTCATCAGTAAAATTCTTTTTAATTTTCCTTACTTCTCATATATAATTGTAAAGAAGCAAAAATTTAAATTATTTTTGATGATGAACCATATTGTTGTAATAAGAATTTTTCAAAAAGTGCATATAATTACAAAAACATGTGTTTATTCGATCAGATAAGTTGACCAAGCGATGATAAAATGGTGATTATAGTTGTAACATGGAATTCAAAATTTGAACATTTTTAAAATTATTTTCAAAGCTGCTAAAATTTTTTCATTCTTGTCGGAAATTTCGTTTAACTTTACTTTTACACAGCAATGATAATTGGTTGCTACTTTGTTTATATGCTTCTTCTTCAGCATTATTTTGCTATTTATATGTTAAAAAGTGCATTTAATTACAAAAACAACACACACACACACACTTTTTTTTTTGTTTTTTTTCCAACCTAGTTTATTAAGCAATGTTTTCTGCTTTTTAAATTAGCAATATTTGCCGACGTGAAATTTGTACTGTTCAACTATTTATCACTAATATTTGAATTGAATCATCAAATTTGAGCATAATAATAGACAATTTATTGCTAACTAAATATATTGTTGCTTTTGAATTGAATTATAAAGTTTAAGCATGACAAAGGAAGAGGAAAACAAAGAGAAAGACTAAATGGTCGGATGATTTGCGTCTTATTTTTTCAAATCTTACCAAATAAACAAAGGATATTTACTAACTAACAAAGAATGAAAGGAAAAAAAGTATGTCAAGTTACTGACATTTTAAAATAACCAAGTTCATTTTGTTATATGAGAGTTATTTTTTTTTCTGAGAGAAATAAGAATTTGAAAGAAATAATTACAGCAGTAATTTCTTTTAGCTGATAGTGAAAATAAATTGAAAACTCAAATTCTAGCATTTTATAGCAATTTCAAATAGATCAATTTTATCAGTTACACATGAGAAGACCTAAATTTTTTTTTGCTATTTCATAGAAGTGACAAAATTTGGATGAGATATGAGATAGGATATGGGTAATTATAAAATTTATGGTAACCAGGTTTCATTCTCAAAACAACTTGTTGTGGTTCGAGTTGTACAATCGTTACACCATCTGCCTGTTTACTTCCTAATGGCAAATTCTAAAACAACAATTCATTAATTTTGAAAATTTCAGGAAAAATAAGTTGGAAAAAATTAAAAAATATTTTATACTGTCTTTAATTTTTGCAGTAATAGAAAAATTCCACGAATTTCCATCTATAAAATGCAATTTAGTTGTCCTTACTTAAAAGGATAAATTGCTATGATCAATGAAGGTTGCATAACTTGAAGCTTCTGAACTAGTTAAACTGTTCTAAAATTAGTTTAGATTAAACGAAAAAGATTTGTTATTCAAAAATAAATATTACATTTTGCGGTACAATTCGAACTTCTGTAGTCGGTGAATAGATAAGCGATGGAGCGCATTTGCCTTGAAATTCAGATTTTAAATCACATCGTGATGGACCTACCAAATGCTGTAATATTTCAAAACTTTTCTTCCCCATAATTTATTATCAATTCGAAAAAAAAAAAAAAATTCACAAAAAAATATTTATGCACAACGGTTACATTAATCTTAATATTCCTTTTTTTTGAAAGTATTTTTTGTTAATTCAAATTCCATTCTGCCATGGCTAATTGACGAATAGAATAATAAGTTTTATTGAATAATTAAACTTATTGTATTCCTGAGCTCTAATCTCATTCATATCTAGAATAACTTGATATAATTCGAAATTTCATTAATTTTACTTTTTTTCCAATAACTAATTTTTACACAAAATTAAGATGCCAGTGGCAAAAATTGATTGAAATATAAACTCAGCTTTGAGATTTAGTTTGCTAAAAATAAGTTTACCAGAAAGTCACTCATGTTAAACAGGCAGATAAAAAGTAATCATGTAATTTTTAACTTATTTATACTTAGCATTTTGAGCTAACGATACATAATTTTGCAGCAATTGAAAATTTCAAATTGTATTTGAATATATATATTATTGAAAAAATTCTAAACATATTAATTCCTTTAAAAATTTTTTCTAATTTGTTTTTTTTTTTTTTTTTTTTTAAATTCCTTCAAAATTGTTTTATTTTAATTTGCAAATGATTGATGAGCAATAAGCTAACCGGATCAAGACACCATGCACAATCTGGATGCTGTTTAATACATTGGCCACAGCTTCTGCTACCCAATGTATTGGTACATAATTTCCTCACATCCTTTGCAAATACTGAAATTAAATAATGTTGGCTAATTTCTAATTAGCACAACTTATGGAATGAAATTCATTAAAAGATTACTTACCATCAGCAATAACGATAAATAGTGCAAGTAGCGAGTATATGTGAGATTTCATTAGACGAAAATCAACTTCGAAATATCTGTAAATAACTTTTATTCATAAATAGAATAGTGCACCGAAGTATTAGACTAAATGCGCAGCATTAATATTGTTGAAATTAATATTCAATTTGCAAGTAATTAAAAGATATTTTGAAATATTAACACATTTTCACTGCGTAATTTGAACGTTACTTGTTGACTACGAAATTTGTGAGAAATTAAAAAAAAAAATGAATCTCTATTGAAATGATTAAGCTGCTTATCAAAATTCATACATAGTTATACATACATCTGGCGGTATGTTAGCAAACTTGAAAGTATAACATCCACCGTCTGTCAAATCAACTCATTTTAATCAATCTATTATCAATGATGAAAAGCCGATTGTTGCTGATAATTATAATTTGGAAAGACTTAAGATCTAATACTGATTTTTCCTTCTTTATTCTCATATTTTCAATTTTTTCTTCACTTCCTATCTGTTAATTCTTTATATAACTCTTTTCCTTTTTTTTTTCTCTGTTCATTTTATGATTTAATAATAATTTGATTATGATTAAATTCTGTGCATTGGACAGGTATTTACACAAGTAAGAAATTATCAAGCCTTGAAACATCATAAGCTGTCAAGATAACATATTTAACGGATCCTTTGATTGTGTTTGCTTATGATTTGATATGATGGATTATTGGTGCACTCTGAGTCAAAAGATTAATAAGACATGCTTTTTAAGAAAAATAAATAGTAACTGAATAGCACCAGAGAATAGCAACAATTCTGTTCGATTCCAACAGGACATCTGCTGGAATAAATGCGCCTTCACCGTTATTTTAATTTTTGAAAATACCAAGAGAACACTTGTAAATTGGCTACATATTTATTTATTTATTTACTTATTCATTTATTTATTTGTTTATATTTATTATAATTTCAAATAAACTTTAAGACTGGAAAAAATTATGAAAAAAATAAAAATTAATAAAAAATTTGTTCTTCAAAAGAAGATATTTTATTAAAAAGAAGAGAGAAAATAAAATAAGATCTAAGTGTTTTATTTGAATAAAAAATGGCATAAATGAACCAATAAACATAAAACGTAAAATAATGCGTAATTTTAAAAGCTCTGCAACATAACTATCCGATAATCCAAAGAAATAAACAATTTATATGAACAATCCTTTTCTCTCGATCCCTCTCTCTCTCTCTCTCTCTCTCTCTCTCTCGTAGATTTTCTCTTCGTTATGATTTGTTAGTTTTTTTTTTTTTTAAAAAAAAAAAAACGTAAAATATGAAAATCACTTTTAAAAATTTCTTTTCAATAATATTATTCCATTAGTGTATTATAAAACACAAAAAAAGAAAATTTTTCCAGTTTCATTCTTAACGATTATTTATCCCTAAAAGTAATGCTTATCTGTTCATTGATTGCTTCTTCTACTGATAGCACAAAAAAAAAAAAGATTTTGTAATCATTTATTCTTTATTATAAATAATAATTTATTAAACATTACATATTTAGAAATAATTATGAGAGAAATTAACTCTTGAAATTATGTAGTGATTCATCATAAAATGAAATTGAAAAGATTTTAAATGTTTGTTAAAAGAGTTTGAATTTGCTTAATCATAAGTAAGCATTTATTTTCTTTTCCATGGTAGCGTTACTGTAAATTTATAACAGATCAAAGTAATTGCTAACAAAAAAAAGAAAGCTGAGAATGAAAGTTTTGTTGTTTAAATTGTGCACCAAAGCATTTGCTGCATAATATTGAAACTATCGTTCTTTAACAAAATTTATTTCAATCAAAATTTACATTAAAATGTTTCGTAATAAGAAAAATAATCGTGAAAAAAGAAATTTTCCATTCAAAAATGATTTGAAACACATTGTACAACTACTAGCGAATCATTTTTCCATCACATTGATAGTTTCAGAGAGAATATAAATTCCGTCAAATTGTAAAAATTTAAACAGCAAAAAGGAATAAATGAATACTATGACAATTTAAGTGAGATAGAAATATCATTTGTTTTATTTTAAATCATAACCAACTTATATTAATTTCATAAATTTCAATTATTGCATTCGTATTTCACTTAAAATAGTAAAATTTTTAAAACTTCTCAAAAAATGAAAAAATGGAACAAATTATTGATTATCAAAATCTATATTAGCTCAAGGAAAAATTTTCAACCATTTAAGAAAAATTATAACAATAAAACTAATTATTATTAGCTTTTGTTACAATTTATAACTTTACGTTTAAAGTTAGAAATGTAACAAAAAAAAATTGCTAATTTAATGTGAGACTGATTTTTGATCAAATCATTATTACTTTTCATGATTATCTCCTCTTTTATTTTACTGATCTAATTCAGTAATTGCATCAGTTCTGTTGAAAACAGAATCAAAACTTGTTGGGAATTAGTTTGAACTGTATCGAGTAAAAGTGATCAAATCACTTTTAAATTACAGAATGATTAAATATCTAAGTAAAATAAAAATTTTCTTGAATGTATTATAGAAAAATTGCAACAAAAAAAAAAAAGTTCGTTTTGTACAACATAAAGTTTCTTTATTCTTTTAGGAGAAACCTTGTGAAATTATGCGAAAAGTTCGTAAAAAGATAAAGTGATTAAAATTGATACTTTCAAACTTCTTAGGAATAAAACGAAATCAGTAAGTAAAATATAGTTGAATACTTAAATACTAGATTATACATAGATCATCTGACCAATCACATCATCAATTATATATAATTTTAGATGATTTGCTAGTAGTTTTGTAGACTTAAATTATCAAAAAACCGCGATTATTTATGAAATTCATAGAACAAAAAAGAGCATTCAAAAATAATTTTGTATGATTTGAAATAAAACAATCAAAAAAAAAAAAGATAAAAGTGAAATTTAATATATCCAATGAGCAATATTATTTTTATTCTAATTTGTTAGCAGAAGCGAATCCCACCTCATACTAAATGAAGTTCCTTCATATACTGAATCCGATCCACTATATAATTAATTTTATTGAAATGCGTTCAAAATGTCGATTAAAGGAGCAATTTGACTACAATAGAATTCATAAGTTCGAAAATACAAAAATCAAAAACAAATTTCAAATGTATCCAATGTTTAATTCAGAAAATAGCAATAAACAGATGTCGGTCCGAAAATTTTTGCTCCTTTTAAGCATAATGTGAAATTTCAAAAAAAATTGCTGATAATCTAAATTTAATTTATTATTGAATGCATCGATTGCTTTTCTATTTGTTAGTCAATAAAAAAAGAAAATTTTATCTTTTCTTTTACTTTTCTAATATATTTGCATATTCAATGCACCTTTAATAACAATAAAATTCTTCACTAATTAGAATTTTTGCAATGAAAGCAATGACAATTGATCAATAATTGATCAATATTACTAATAATGATAGGAAATGATGGAGAAAGCATTGATTTGTTAATTTGTGATGCACATCTTCAATTCTGATTAGATGACAGACTAGGACCCATTTAATATATTAATACTTTAGGCTAATAATGGTTGAGAAATAAGCCAAAACTATCATTGAAGAATGATCTCATTAAAAGCATTTTCCGGAGCATAGCATTATCATATTTTTCATTTTTTCATTAGAATTAATGAAATAGTGCCTTAATAATTAATCAAATTTATTAACTTTAAACTCTGACCTATGCAATATGAATTTCGAATATTTGTTCACTTTTCAGAATTGAAATATCAATGCCATCATATGCAGAAAAGTAAAGATTTGCTTCTAATAATAAAACTTTTTTTTTCTCTGCCGTTTTCAAAATAAGGAAGAAAACAAATGGAATTTTTCATGCAACTTTTGCTTCCATTTAAATACTTTCCAATATTGAATTGTAAAATTTAATGAAAAAAAAAAAAATTAAATATAGATTTGGGTAATTGGGAACTATGAAAAATTATAAAAAATGATTGTCTGATAAACAAAATTCAAGTAAAATTTTTTGAAATAATCAATAAACAGTTAAAAATCAAAATGGTGATTAAATTTTTTTGTAATTTATATATATTTTTTACGGAAAGAAAACACTTTCAAATTCAATTCAAATTTTTTCAATAAAATTAAATCGATGCAATTTAAAATAGCGCCAATTTCATTAATAAATTTCAGTGCATTACAATAAACAAATAAAATTTGGCGGTTCACCATTGCTAATTGGGTCAGAATAAACAATCAAATAATTAAGATAACCTCACACCCACGATAATCACTTCATCTAATCTGTGCTAACTTCATCCATCCTCTTAGTAAGCAACAAACAATCAAGCAAGAAGCGCCATTTCGGTAAACTTTTCTTTAAGATTAATTGCCCCGCAGTAAAGTACTCACAGAGATTCTCAATGAAATCTATGTTTTCTGATCTTCGTAAATGATTTAATTATTTAATTAAAAAAAGCTTACTTTAAATTAGAAATTAATTTCTCATCAAACTACAGTGATAACTTTTTAGACTATTATATTTTATGTTATGATTTCAAACTGTTCGGGTCTTAAAATACATTAGTTGGCAATAAATCGTATTTTTAGATTTATTTTTAGAGTTAAATTAAAAATAACATTAATTGCTTTACGATAAACTCATAATCATTTATTAATGATAGATGAAATAATGATAGATGTAAAGAACCTTCAATGAAAACTTAAATCATTTAAAAGTATTTTTTTTGAATGGAACAAATTCTTACTTTAAATGAACTTATGCTTCAAAGTTTTTTAAGATCATATGCTTACTTTAGCAAAATTCTCTACATTCAACAACAAAATTATTAAACAATTAATTAAATCTTTTGAATTAGAATATTCATTGACCTCATAAATGCATTAAATATTGTGTGAAAAAACAGAAACTGTATTAAAAATTTAATAAACAGTTGTAGAAGATAATGACCTTTCTAGTTTCAAATTTCTTAAAAGCACACAAAAAGGTGATCCTAAACGATCAGACTGTATCCAACA